CACCAGCATAACCATAACACGCACCAGCATCACAAACACCATTGAAAGCGGCAGAATCATTATTGCGGACCTCCACCGAAGACCCCAGTGGTAGTGTCCGCATGGCTATTCGGGCCCATTCTGGCACACCGCTCACACGTCTCGCGGCCCCACAGGAAGGTCCACCGAAGGCCCATTGGTAACGTCCGCACGGCTACTCCAGCCCATTCTAGCACACCTCTCACACGTTTCGTGGCCCCGAAGGGAGGTCCACAGCAGGCCCCGTTGGTAGCGTCCGCATGGCTCCTCGGGCCCATTCTGGCACATCCCATCACACGTCTCGCGGCCCCACAGGGAGGTCCACCGAAGGCCCCATTGGTAGCGTCTGCATGGCTCCTCGTGCCTATTTTGGCATACTCCTCACACGTTTCGCGGCCCCACAGCGAGCTCTACCGAAGGCCCCAGTGGTAGCGTCCACATAGTTAATCAGGTCCATTCTGGCACACCCGTCACACGTTTCGTGGCCCCGCAGGAAGGTCCACCGAAGGCCCCATTGGTAGCGTCCGCATGGCTACTCGGGCCCAGTCTGGCAGACCGCTCACACGCTTCGTGGCCCCGCAGCGATCTCCACCGAAGGTTCCAGTGGTAGCGTCCGGATGGTTACTCGGCCCCATGCTGGCACACCACTCACACGTTTCGTGGCCTCACAGGAAGGTCCACCGCAGGCCCCGTTGGTAGCGTCCGCACGGCTACTCTGGCCCATTCTGGCACACCCCTCACACATTTGAGTGCACCTTCGACTGAAGTCGGAACATCGCGCACATCAGCCTCAGGACGACCAAGAGCGGCCAGAGAGCAGGAATCGCCGAGCACGTCGTGATCGATGAGCTCGAGGCCACGGTCCCCCTGGCCCACGCGCTCGGCAACTGCCCAGGCGGCGCGCATCTTTCCCCCGAGTGCCTACAGGCCTCAGGACGGCTTGCAGGCGTCTTGTAGGCAAAATTGGGGCCAATCCCGATCGACGTAAGCATCACAGCCGGCGCTGGGGAGGGGCCACGCATTACTTCCAGGTCTTGGGCAATTTGAGCACGACCTGCCTCCGCGGACGCTAGGGGCACCGGCCGACGGCGAGCATCTGCATCCAGGGCGGTGCGGCGATGCGCAGGCGGCGCCGCCTCGCCCCGCAGGAGGGGGCAGAGTTGGGCAAGGGCCTGGCGCTGCTGCGCCGCCTCACGAGAGCCCGCGACCAGCCCGTGGCCTTTGTACATCGATCATCCGAAGAGCAGGGCGGAGCGCCCACGGCTTGGTCTCGCAGCCTTGACGTGACAGGCCAGGGCTTAAGTCGGGCATGTCCCTCCACAGGAGGAATATTCAAAAATAGTCCAGAAATAGTCTGGGGACGATTTTCTGAGCATTGTTGGCAATGTTTGTGCATTGTTTGACTACTTGTATTCTTCGTCCAAAATCCGCCTGTAGGGGGGCACGCCCGACCTAAGCCAAGGCCGCTGTCCGTGACCTCGGTGACCCATCACCTCGGGGGGAAGGCGGCTGCGGCCAGCTGCAGCTCGCCGACGGCCACGGCGACCTGGGCGCCGCGCCTGGTCGGGAGGCCGCCCGCACGACAGAGCGCCCGCCGCTGCGGCGCACAAAAAAAGTGCACACCGCGCGGCGAGAAGGAGGTTGGAGGAGCGAGCGGCACGCAGCACTAGTCATAAATCTACCTCAACGAGTTCAACCACTCGAAGCATTACGCATGTAGGCCAGATTGTTGCCAAAGGGTGATACGACACATTAAAAACAAAAACGTCACAAACGCAACACCTGATTCATCCCGTCTCCTCCCCTTCGCCCGTCTCCTCCTCCTCCTCCTGCTTCTCGTCCTCCTCCTTCTCCTCTTCCTCCTCCTCCTCCTCCTCCTCCTCCTCCTCCTCCTCCTCCTCCTCCTCCTCCCCCCGCTCGAGGGGTCGACTCTCTGCCTCCTTCGTCCGCTAAAGCCAGGCGGCCCGCCGTCGCCCTCGACGGTGCAGGCCTACCAGCAGACCATGTTGCAGGGTTCACAGGCGGACCCTGTTAGTGTTCTCTCTCGCTTCGTTCTCTCTCTCTCTCTCTCTCTCTCTCTCTCTATATATATATATTTCTCTCTCCCTCTCTCTGTTTCTCTCTCTCTCTCTCTCTTTCTCTCTGTCTCTCTCTCCCTCTCTCTCTGTCTCTCTCTCTCTCTCTCTCTCTCTCTCTCTATATATATATCGGAGGTGAGGGGGTGAGATCGAAGTGGAACGGAGAGCCCCCCTACCGGGAAATCGATTTCGGTTTCGTGTTCGTGCGTGCCGTGCGTGCGGGCGAGGCGAAGCTGCGTGGGCGGGCGAGAGGAAAGTCTCCTGTGGCTGAGGCGCGGCCGGACCAAATGATTCTCCACCGGGCGGCCGGTGGCGCGCGGTGTCCCGCCGGTGTCCCGGTGGTGTCCTCTGTGGCTGAGGCGCGGCCGGACCAAATGATTCTCCACCGGGCGGCCGGTGGCGCGCGGTGTCCCGCCGGTGTCCCGCCGGTGTCCCGTCGGTGTCCCGTCGGTGTCCCGATCATGATGTTGATGATGATGATGATGATGATGATGATGGCGATGATGATGATGATGATGATGTGTGTGATGATGATGATGATGATGATGACGTCGATTGTGAGATCGATTGTGATATCGATAGTGAGACCGAATGTGAGATCGATTGTGAGATCGATAGTGAGATCGATTGTGAGATCGATAGTGAGATCGATAGTGAGACCGAATGTGAGACCGAATGTGAGATCGACTGTGAGATCGATTGTGAGATCGTTAGTGAGATCGACAGTGAGACCGAATGTGAGACCGAATGTGAGATCGATTGTGAGATCGATTGTGAGATCGATTGTGAGATCGATAGTGAGATCAATAGCGAGGTCGATAGTGAGATCGATAGTGAGACCGAATGTGAGACCGAATGTGAGATCGACTGTGAGATCGATTGTGAGATCGATAGTGAGATCGACGGTGAGACCGAATGTGAGACCTAATGTGAGATCGATTGTGAGATCGATTGTGAGATCGACTGTGAGATCGATTGTGAGATCAATAGTGAGATCAATAGCGAGATCGATAGTGATATCGATAATGAGATCGAATGTGAGATCGATAGCGAGATCGATTGAGTGAGACGTTGGTTCCCCCTCCCCCCTCACCTCCTTATCACCCGCAGGGTGGTCGTATAGGTATATATATGTATGTGTTGTTCTCTCTCTGTTTCTCTCTCTCTCTCTCTCTCTCTCCCTCTCTCTGGTTATCTCTCTAGATATCTATACACACCCACATATATAGATGTATCGATGTGTGTGTCTCTCTCGTTCTATGTCTCAATGTATGTATCGATCGATAGTTATATATATATATATATATGTATGTATCGTTATCTCTCTCTTTCTCTCGTTATATGTTCCCTCGTGCTCGATATATCAGTATCAGTATCAGTATTCCTCTCCCACTCTCGTTACGTGCATACATACATATACATGTATACAATACCTATGTCGAGAGGGGGAGAAGTGGGAAGGGACCCTGATGTCTTCAGAATTGCTCAAGTTTACCCCGTCCTTCCCATGTGCAGTCGAAAGTTATCGGGTGACCCGGAGGCCCCAGAAGTTACCAGCGGCATCAGGGAGGAGGAGGAGGAGGAGGAGGAGGAGGAGGAGGAGGAGGAGGAGGGGAGAAGAGGAGAAAGAACGGAGATGAGAGGTAGAAGGAGGAAAACGAGGATGGCGACAAAGACGAGAAGGAAGAGGCGGAAGGGTGGTGGTGGAGGAGAAGAGGATGGGAGGGAAGGAGGAAGAGGGAAAATAAGAGGAGAAGGAAGAGGAGAAGGAGGAGAAGAGATGAGAGGAGAAGGATGGAGGAGGGAGGAAAAGGAGGGGGAGAAGACGAGGTGGGAGTACGAGGAGGACGGAGCAAAGAAGGAGCAGGAGGAGGAGGAAAAGGACGTGGAGGAAGGGGAGTAGGAGGAGAAGGAGGATCAGGAAGAGGAGGATCAGGAGGATCAAGAGGACCAGAGCAAGCCCAAGACGCATCAACGATGCTACGGCACATCTTCCCGTCGTCGGTCCCTTCTTCCAATCGTAAGTCCCACAAGTCATGAATGGCAAGGAAATCTTAAGCGATAGTCCCGTTTTAAGCGGGAACCACCCTCCATCCATGCATGCATAACTTGTGCATTTTTATCTTTGTTGCTGAAAGAGTTGACAATAGTTCGAGAAAACCAACTTTGGAAAGGAACCGCGTTCCATCCCATCCGTGTGTTGCGCATGTGTCAGACTCCAGACAAGAACATCGGGGAAGTTTCAATCGAAAGCCACATGCTGTAAAATGCCATCCACCCGGGCAGGTGTTGGAAACTGTTGTGACGAATGTGCCCCGCGCTTGCCCTAGACCCAGGAGCGAAGCCGCGGGGTTGCGGACGTGAGATGGGGCGGACAGGCGGCAGGATGCCACATGTTTGGTTCGATCCCCCGATGTTGGTCGGAGTTTTCCTGGTCGGCAGCAGCACCCCGCTTCTGACCCTTGTCCCAGTCGCCGTGTAGGTAGGCTTCCAGTTGGTGGGATGGCCACTGCTGGTCGAAGAATTCACTAACCTCGTCGTCAGTGCGGTACATGTGGTTGTGCCATGCCCGTCGGCAAGGCAGCGTGTCCACGTACGCCTTCCAAGCCATAGAGAAGGACGAGCCTTTCCCGTAGTCGACCCACGAATTGTTGTTCGGTAGGTCGTCTTTTCATCGGCGTTTGCTACTTTCGTCGTGCTCTTGCCAGGAACGCTAAGGAGTCCCGCTGGCGGCCCTCCACAGTTGATCGGTGCCGTCGTCCCGCGCGGCGTGATTGGGCTGGAAGTGAACCCAGGCACCCTGATCCGTGCTGGTATGGTCAGCGTCGTCGGACCGCGTCTGGTCTGCCGCTTGTCGGTGGCGAGTGGAGGTGGACTGCCAGTTGTGATCCCACCATTGCTCGTGCCCCTGAGATGCGTCCCGCAGCCACCAGCTGGAACGCGCTCCCCATCTGGACTCCTAGTCCGTTGGATCGTCGGAGTAGTGGTGGCCCCAACGAGACTGCCCTGTGGGGTCACCGCCGACTTCACTGAGGGCGCCTAGGCCTCGGCGCCGTGCTGTCTGGGTGGGGCGGCGGACTGCCCGTCGCGGGAGCCCCCGGCACGACTGGCCATGGGAGGAGCGCATGTTTGCCGCAATGGTTGCGGCGCCAAGAAGTCCAGCCCCGAAGCAAGGGGTCTGGTGGGCATGGACTGAGGTGCGGATCGCGTCCCCCGAGTGCCTCCGAGGGTGCCCCCTGGACGGTGTCGAGCTTGTGTTTGCCAATGCAGGTCTTCCGGTCGTTCGCAACTTCTGTGAAGCCCGCTTCCTTCGCTTGGACGGCCGATTTCAGAGATCCGCCAGGGCCTCCTTGGCGTGTGGGAGCCCATCTTGAGCCAGTTTAGATGGCATCTTGGGCATCTTGGAGGCCACAGAGTGCAGGTTTGGAGCTCTGGATGCCCTCGGGGTGCGTCGTATACCCCCCCACTCACACACACACACACACACACACACACACACTCGAACGTGATTTCAGACCCTGGGCGAGGGAGAAAGGGGGAGAGGGACAGCCAGATATCTCACACGCCTCTGCACTCCTGGGAGGCGGGGGGCGGCGGATGGGTCCTCCCCCTCCCCCCGAACCCCGCTCAGGTCGGCCAGCGGGCGACCTGGAGTAGCCACCAAGGGGAAAATAAAGTATACGAGAAGTGCAGTTCCTCCGCGTTCCTCGACCTCCCCCGGTCCCCCATCGAACCAACCACGAGTTGGATCTGCATTCCGCCCCCTCCGGAGGGCTCACCGTCCGTCTGCTGTGCCTGCCGCTCAGACTCTGGCGCTGCCTCCCCTCCTCCCTCCTCCTCCTCCTATCATCCATCCTCTCCTCCTCCCTCCCACACCCCCTCCTCCTCTAACTGGGGCGGGGCGCACGAACGCCGAGGGGGGCGCGGTCAGATCTTGACCGGAGATCGACCCCCACGACATCACGCTTCCCGTCCCCCTCTCTCCGGGGAAATCGCGTCCCCTCGGACATCTTCACTGCGCAGATTCGACTCTGGATGGGGAAGAGGCTTCATCGCCAGGACGGTGTTTATTCCGCGCCTCCCAGACGCAGCGCTTTCGTTTAACCATAGCGCGGAAAAGCACCAACTGGCCTGGCACCCGTGGCCTATGGTGGGAGGAAGGGAGGGAGGGAGCGACAGGGTCAGGGATGAGAGAGCGGGGAGTCTGCATCGGAGCGAGTAGTACAAGAAGCCGTTTGGCAGTGGTGGCGGCGGGAGCCAGAGAGGTCATGGCGCAGGTAGCCGGCGGTGGGAGGGTTCCGAAAGTTCCCCCGCAACCGTTGCCACCCTCACTGCAAATTGCAAAGTTTCCATGGGCTTGCCTACAGGAGACCACGGTCCAAATCGTACAAAGAGAATTGGTCCACGGCTCCCCCACCCTTATTCTGTCCTTAAATACGTCAAACTGTCTGCATGGTTTCCTCTGGTAGCTGCTAGCCGCATGGCTTCGTCCAAACTATCCGCGTGGTTTCTTCTGCTATCCACATGGCTCCGTCTGCTAGAGTAGAGCAGAATGGAGGAGAGCCCACAAGAGTAGCAGGAGAGCTGAGTAGAATAGGGTAGAGTAGAGTAGAGTAGAGTAGAGTAGGGCAATAAAGTATACTGGAGTAGGATAGAGTACCGTAGCGTAGATATGTGGAGAGGAACAAGAGGAAAAGAGAGGAGAGTGGAGTAGAGTCGAGTAGGGTAGAATTGAGTGGAGTAGCGCAGAGTAGCGTAGAGTAGCGTAAAGTAGAGCAGAGTAGCGCAGAATAGAGGAGAGTAGAGTATCGTAGCCTTGCGCAGCGTAGAGTAGAGCAGCATTTAGTAATATAGAGTAGAGTATATGAGAGTAGGGTTGAGAAGGATAGGGGTGATGCTTCTATTCGGAGACAACCTTGGCTGAAATCTGAATGCGGTTGGCTGCACTGAGATGGAGGAGTGCGCTCAGCCAAGGTAGTAACTAACGATGGTCAACGCCAATCGGAGTTGCTCGGGCATCCTTGCGTGTTCAAGACGCTTCGCGTAACCCTACCAGTGCTCTTGCCGCCTGACCTTCGTCTCGCGTCCGCGACCAAAAAAAAGTAACCCTACCAGCCTGGCACGCTTCTTGGGTCTCTCTGAGTTGCCCACCCTGGCCACATCGTGGTGCCCCCGCGCGCCATTTTGGCCGCGCTGCAGCTTCTGCTGCTCAATTCACTCGCATTCAATGCGGTTCGAGGCTGTCGGTCCACCTGGCTTCGGCCACCCTGGTACTCTGCAGCTCGTTGATGCTTGCGCCCTACATGGGGTGCACAATTCGGCTCGTGGCAGTCGGTTCGCTTGGCTCCGGCCACCCTGGTACTCTTGCGGTTCCGTGGGTGCCTACGCCCTTGCATTGAATTCACTCGCAACTTGCAGACCCTGGCAGCCGGCCACCCTGGCAGCCAGCCCACCTTTGCAGCGCGTTGCATGCGTGCACCCTGGTTGTGCAGCTTCCCAGCAGTTGCCGTCAGCCCCCCTCCACTCGCCGGCCTGCCCGCCGAGGTGCTGCGTGAGGCTTCGGCCCACCGCTTTAGATTAATTCGTCTTTGCGCGGCCCGCTCTGACTGGACACGCCGCTGGCGCTCTCGCCTGCGGCCGCTGACTAAAAAGTAACCCTACCAGCCCATCCAGAAACTATGCCCAGACTAGTTGCAATGGAATAAAGGGCTGGGTGAGACGTCATACCCCAAGAGGGGGCGGATGGAGGAGGAATCGGAAGAGCAGGAGGACGAGGAGGAGCAAGAGGGAGACGGGGAGGAGGGAGGAGGAAGGAGGAGTAGGCGGATGAGGAGGAGGAGGAGGAGGAGAAGGAGGAGGAGGAGGAGGAGGGCGAGCAGAAAGGTCAGGAGTCTCTTGGATGTCTACCGGAGTCTCTACGGATTTCTTCCGAGAGTTTCTTGGAGGATTCCTGAGGCGTTTTGGAGGTCTCTGGAGGGTCCCAGGAGCCTTTTGGGACGCCTCGGGTGCCTTGGGTGACCTCTTGGGGCGACTTGGGGGTCTCCCAGGAGCCTCTGTGGGCAATCTTTGTGGGCCCCTTGGGGGCTTCTTGGGGTTTCATGTGCACCTCTTGGGGCCATCTTGGGGCACCCTTAGGAGCCTCGGCGCCCACCTTGGAAGAGATCGACCAAAGAAGAAGCCGACGAAGCCAAAACATGAGTAAAATCAATGATGTTGGTTTTCTCGCCGAGGCCAAAAAGACATCCTGACGCCTCGCGAAAGGCCCCGCCGTCCAGACCCAGGGGGAAGGGGTAGGGAGAGGGGTCAAGACACCCTCGCCGCTCGCAAGTTGTCTAGCTCACTCCCAACCCGCCCTCCCACCACATAAGTGGCATCCGAGTCTCGGCAAAGCGAGGGATCGCCACTGGATGGACAGCCACTGGGAACCAAAGCGGACGCCAGGTGCGCGACGCTCGCCGCGGGCTCCACATGCGGTTGGTGTGCCATCCTTGTTTAATTATATCAGTTATATGTATGAAACTGCACGAATAGTAGTATGTTAGTAAATATAATATATATATATATTATATATATATATATATATATATATATACATAGATAACATAACATAATCATAATAATAACAACAATAATAATGTATATGTGCTGCCTCCCCATCCGTATGGTCCAGATGCTGATGTGGGGGGGCGTCAGCATTGTTCTGGGCCTGCGCACAGCAAGCATCATCATGCGGGCACCACCGGCGTCCCTGTCAAAAAACAATTCAAAGTGATCGCGGGTGGCCAGAACAATACCCACGACTTCGTCGCAACGTGCACTTTGCATCGCTTTTGACACGGGTGGTGGTCCTGCACAAAGCGGCCTCACTAAAGGTGCCCCGCCATCTCTGGCAAAAAATACAACGTGTTCACAGGGCGCCAGCGCATTGTCCAGATGTTGCTGCAACGTGCATGTCGTATTGTTTTGACAGGGATTGTGGAGGGTGTTGGCAAAGTGGGCCCCGCAATGTGCATGTCATATTGTTTTTTGACAGGGAGTTTGGGCGGGGGGGGGCCTTCATGGTGTGCGCATGGTTTTTGGTTGGCTGCCGACCAGGTGCGGGAGGGGGTGTTTGTTCTTATGGAACAGTGATCAAGCTGCCCACCCCGCCCGCAAGGTTTCTCGCTCACTCCCACTCGCCTTCCAATACAGAAGTAGCACCCGAGCCTCAGCATGTTCAGCGGTCGCCTACGGATGCACAGCTAGTGGGAACAGATACAGACCACATGTGCGCAACGCTGGGGCGAGGTACGCCATGCGTGCCAGGCACGCCTGGCGCGCCAGGCCACGTGCTCCACGTGCGCCATGCGTGCCGCATGCTCCAGCTGCGCCAGGTGCGCCACGTTCGGGGCGCGCGCAGGGTCTACCAGGTGCGCCCACGCACGTGACAGCACACATCAGGAACCATTTCGGCCCCCACTATCTTTGTCGAAAGCCAGTGCAGAATCGCGACGGGGAGGCCATCATGGTGTCTGGTGAGCCTGCGCACAGCAGGCAATATGCCAGCACCCTTGCCGTCCTCGTCAAAAACCACAGTGGTCGCGGTGTGGCCGCGCACGATCCAGGTCTAGCCGCGAAGAGCATGTTGTATTGTTGGTGACAGGGATGGTGGCCTTGCACACAGCGGGCAACATGAGGGGAACCCCGTCGTCCATGTTTCACAACAATACAAAGTGTATGCGGGGCCCAGAAGAGGAAACGCTCTCAACCACTCACGCCCAGAGGGCTGGTGGGAATTGGCCCACCCTTGCATGCCAGTCCATTCGTGCCTTTTCGGCCCATCCATGCCCGTTCGGGCCAAGTGTCGTGCACCCGTATCTTGCATCCTTTATATGATGGTTGGTTAGTGGAGGGGCAGGAGCAGGATGACATTGACTTGGCTTCCGCGGCAGAGAGGAGAAAGACGAGGGAGGGCAAAGTAGGAGTTCTGGGCGAGCGATGGATCGACAAAAGGGCGATGAAGGCGGGAGGGGCAGGGCGCACCTCGGCTGAGTGGCCAACAGACGAGGAGACTGCAGAGCGGGAGGCGCGAAGAGTCCAGGAGAGGAAAGGGGCGTGGCAGGCCAGTGGAGGTAAGCCATGGGGAGGGACGTAAGAAGAGGATGCAGGGGGAGGGCATAGCGGAAGGCGCGGAGGGAAGGAAGCCCTTCGGCAGAAGCGGCGGGCGCAGAGAAGGGCGCCGAGGGGAGGCAGCGGCGTGCTGAGCCATTTGGGCCCAAGCGGCGGCACGGGCCCAGTTGCGGCCAGCCCGGGGGTGGGTCTGGCCCGGGCAGGCGCAAGCGGGGGTAATGTTGCCAGCTGCCAGGCCGCCAGCGGGCATGCCAGCTCTGTCGCAGTGGATCTATAACCCAGACATAAGGACCGGCATCGACGTGCGAGCTGTCCCCGACATCTACGGCCCTGTCACGCCCTTCGCCTTGCAGCCTGGGGAGACGTTCTTCGTGGCCGAGGAGCAGCTGGGCCCGTACGGGGTCCTGTACTTGAGGTTGGCCGATGGCAGGGGGTGGGTCTTTGACAAGAAGCCTGGCGCCGGAAACATGTGTCAGCGGCTGCTCTTCGCGCCGGCGCAGGCGATAGCCCCAGGCTACTCGCCCGGGCCACCGCCCCTCGCGCCGCCTGCTCCAACAGCGGCGGCAGGGGCGCCCCCTGCGCTGGTGGGATCGCCGAGCGCCTCCTACGCGGTGCCTCCCACGGCCGTGCCTGGGGCAGGCGGCCAGCGATTTGCTCCCCCCATGGTCTTGCCGCAGGCGGCAGGCGCGACGGCGGCGGCGGCCCAGGGCGGCTCCTACGCAGTGGCCCCAGGGATTGGCTCGTACATGGCGTCATCCCCAGCAGCACTGGCACAGAACGGCTCCTGCGTAGCGCCGTCGGTTGCACAGAGCGGCTCCTACGTGGCTCCGCCGTCAGCGGCAATACCTCTGAGTGGCTCCTACGTGGCTCCGCCAGCAGCGGCGATGCCGCTGAGCGGTTCATACGTGGCTCCGCCAGCAGCGGTGATGCAACTGAGCGGTTCATACGTGGCTCCTCCAGCGGCGGCGATGCCACTGAGCGGTTCATACGTGGCTCCACCAGCAGCGGTGATGCCACTGAGCGGTTCATACGTGGCTCCGCCAGCGGTGCCGGCAAGCGGCCACCCTCCGAGCTTACCAGAGTGGGTATACAGCCCAGTGAACGGCACGCAGATAGATATCCGCGCCAGCCCCGACATTGACGCGGAGAGAACCCCGTACACCCTGGACCCCGGCGACGTGTTCCAGGCGTGCGAGGAGCGGTTGGGCGCTCATGGGGTGTTGTATCTGAAGTTGGCGGACGGGCGCGGATGGGTCTTCGACAAGAAGCCTGGCCTCGGTTGCATGTGCTCGCGGCTGGCGAGATACGTCGGCTCCACACATGTTTCTTCAGCAACCCCGAGCGTCGTGCCTGGTGCTGTCTCCGTCTGGGTGCACACTCCAGAGTATCTCGCACCCTTGGCGTTGCGGGCAACACCAGACGTCAACGGCCCCAGGACGAGCAATATGCTTCTGCCAGGCGACGAGTTTGCCGTGAGCGAGGAATTCCAGGGCGCCGGCGGCATTCTGTACCTGAAGCTGTCCGACGGGAGGGGCTGGGCTTTTGACCGGAAGCCTGGTGTAGGCGGAATGTGCTCGAGGAAGCCGGTCCTCTCGGCCGGCTTCTCTGCGCAGATGCCACCGGGCAGCGTTCGGGCGCCCCCTGGTGGGCCTCCTGCTCCCAACAGCGGGGCGCTAACGCCAGGGCCTCCGCCGATGCCAGCGACCTTCCTGACACAGTGGATCTACAATCCAGACTACAAGGTGCCCATAGACGTGCGGGCCACCCCGGATGTGAACGGCCCGAGGTGTCCGACCACGCTGTCCCCGGGGGAGATATTCCAGGTGGCCGAGGAGCGTGCCTCGCCAGACGGCATCATATTCTTGAAGCTGGCCGACGGCCGAGGCTGGGTGTTCGACAGGAAGCCAGGCGCTGGCAACATGTGTGCACGCTACACCGCGCCAGTGAGCAGGCAGTTCAGCGTGGCCCAAACGGTCAATGGCTACATGACGCCGACGGCAGGGGGTTCTGCGACGCCCATCGTGGGCGGTGGTGCCGCGACGCCTGTCGCGGGCGGTGGGGCAACTCCTACAATGGCACACCGGATGGTTCAGAACGGTTCAACGTTTAATTTTCCTGCCTCCTTGCCGATGTTGCACGGAGGCGCCGTGACGCCGCCCCCGCCGATGCCGCCGGGCAACTCTGTCACAGTCTCGCCGATGTTCCAGGGAGGGCCCGCGTCTGTCGCGGCGTCGCCCGGCTTGCCGACAAGGTGTTGACAGATGTTGTGCCAGAAACGCCGCCAAGACGCAAAGCGACTGGCCCTTTGCGAGACCAATGCCAGCACCTTTGGATGCGCAGCTTCGGGCGCTTACGCAGCAGAAGCCAATGTATCGTAAGGAGTACAAGGTGCTCCCTGCTGGCGGAAAGGCAGACCGCCTGTAAGAAATGCTGTCCGTCCGCACGACATGAGTCTGACCTCTCAGGAGAATGTGCGGACCGCCGTCAGAAAAAAATTGACTCTCGGCAGGTCAGGTCTATCGGTGCGGGTCTCTGTGGCCAGCGTGGCGGTGGGGCCTGGGGCGTGCACGGCCTCGAGGGGCGGGCGTCTGGACATACCCGTGAGGTCGCTTGCAGTAGGAGCGTGGCGAGGGGAGAGGGGATGGAGAGTGTGAGCAAACAAAAAACCTAACAGCGAACATGAATGTTTTTGTTTCGTGCGCGAGAGCTGTATGATTTCAAGATATCGACGGGTCGAGGTGCAGCTCAGGAGAGGTGCTTGACAACAATATACATGGAGATTGACAGTTTTGTACATGATTGCCCACGGTGCTGGATTGCATGGAGTGCTACAGGCAGGACAAGATTAGAGGCAGCAGAGCGCGTGTGCCACCCTGTAGCCGAGCGGAGGTGTCGCCGCAGCATCCTGTCATGCCACTGCCTGGCAACATGGTGCGGCCTGGTTGTGCGCGAGTCCTGGTATCTGTTTGTCTCTCTCTCCTTCTCTCTCTCTATATATTTCTCTTCTCTCTCTCTCTCTCTCTTTCTTTCTTTTTTTTCTCTCTCTCTCTCTCTCTCTCTCTCTCTCCTACGAACTCGCCAGCCTTCCTGCGCATGAGCCAGCATGAACATCGGCGTGCTGTGTGTGTGTGTGTGTCAAAACACACGGCCCAGAATTGATCCGCCGCTTTGTTTGAATGTACAATGCCCAGATATGTGTTCGGCCTCTTTGCACATGATAGACTTAGTGCAAGCGCTCTGAACACGGAGGGAACACAAGACACGATTCGTTCGCCTGAAAGGAGGTCCGATGAAAGCCCGAATCCGCAGTCACACTGCCAGTCAATAGTTGGTGGCCATGGCGAGCGTGGGCAGAAGGAAGGTAGGCAGTAGTAAACAGTCAGAAACCTGGTCACTTGTGTCATCGCGTAGCTTGTCGCCAAAATGATTCACCGAACGTAACGCTCCAGCACGAGATCTATTCACTGCTGGATAGAATCATCGGGCGGCACGTGAGGTGATGTAACGATTCCCACCTTGCAGGATATTTGGAAGGAGAGCGACGGAGCAAGAAAGTCAGGCTGACTGGCTACGCGCGGGGCAGTTGGCTAAGCGAGCGGGGCAGTTGGCTAAGCGAGGCAGCGCGGATAACGCGAGCAGCGACGCGCGAGAGCGTTGGCCGCCGATGGAGCGATTCGTGACAAGATGAATTGCTCGCTTCGATCGCTCGATGAGGCCGTTTCGACCGCACGACGTGTTGGCAGATCATGCGAAATAAAGCCAAGTGTCGCCTTCCTTCCCTTCCTTATCGTCATCCTCTTGCTCCTTCGGAGCGGTCGCTACTCCTCCTTTTCCTCCTTCTCATGTTTACCCCCTCTTTCTCCGTTCTCCCCTCCCAACCCCATGGAGCCCCACGGAGCTCGCCAGAACTATTCGACACAGTCCTCACACCTTTGTCAACTTCTTCCTCCTCCCCTCTCCCCTTCCCGCGTCCCGGATGAGTCTGACTTCAGGCCCCAACGATTTGGATTTACAGTTTATCATTCGGTTTGCCACGCCAGAGCTGAAAATTCCAGCACCAAGAAATTGAACCTCAGACGTTGCACACCGTGACGTCTGAACAATGCACTGCTTGGGGCCCAAGCGAAGGTTTCGTTTGTCTCTCGATTGGTCAGTTGCTGGGCTACAAGTCGCATTCGTCCCCCAACTCCAGGCCGTGTCATCTACCTTGCTCTACATTATCAGGACACGTTGCGCACGACGCTTTGCCAAAACGTTCACATCGTCTTCACGCATGATTGCAGTGCACATTGATATGAAGTAAACGATGAGGCTGGTTTAGATTTGAAAGTGTCACGGTCGCCACCAACACTAGTCCTTCATGGAGTGGAGATTCGAATAGCCGTGCTATCGCCGAATAGTGGTCTTTCCAGGTGCTGCCGTTGAAATCCAAGATAGCCCTCCTCCTCCATCGCCATCCTCCCCCCCCCCCAGTCAGCCAAAAAAATCCCCAGGTGCCGCCTGTGGTGCTGCCCCCACCTGCGCCTGCCACCTGCGCAGTGCAGTGCAACACGCCTGGGGTGCCCACCGCCATCGCGTTCGTCGGGAGATAAGTATGCCCAGTAGAACACGCTGCGCCACCCCTCCTCCCACTCTCCTGTCCTCCCCCCTTCTCCTTTTCTTCCTCCTCATCTTCCTCATCCTCTTCCTCCTCCTCCTCCTCTTCATCCCCGTAGCCATTTGGGCTCAAGCGGAGGCGCTCGCAAGAGCGCCGCAGCCGCGCCGCGCCCCGCGGGCGCGCGCTGGCCACCACCCGACGGTGCGATGGGGTGTGGCGGGCGCGGCGGCCTCTCGGTGCACCATGGCGCCGCGCTCGTCACGGGCGCATCTGTCAGCGAGGCCGCCGAGCTTCTCTTGCGCGCGCAGTCAGGGACCATGGCGGCAGCGGTGGCGCCAGCTGCGGGAGCGGCGAGCGCGGCGACGGCAGCAACGTCTGGCTGTTCGGCGCTCGGCGACCACGCGCAGGCGATGTTCGGAGTGGCAGCGGAGCTGGTGGCCATGCGCGGGTCGCCGACCTTGGCCGTTGGGTTCGGGGAAGTTCGCACCCGAGGGCTGCGGCTTTCCTTCGCCATCCGCGCGAGGCGACGGCTGTCGTAACCAGTTTTAGGTGCTGGCTGGCGGATGGTGCTGTGCCCAGGGCGGGCCTGCAGGAAGAGAACGACGAGGAGGTGCTCGGCAGCGACGGCGAGAACGACGAGGTTGGCCCCAAGCACCGCGTGGAGCTCGGCACGTAGGTGGAGACCGTCGAGCTGGAGCCCAGGGACGCCGGTGGCAAGCTCGAGCTGAAGTCCACCTTGAGGGAGTTGCTGGCCGAGCAGGTGCTGGAACTGCAGGCAGTCAGGAAAGAGCACAAGCAGCGCATAGCGGACATGCGCAGGGAGAAGGAGCAGCTGGTGCAGCAGCTGAACGACGAGGAGCAGAAGCACAACGAGTCCAAGGAACGGATCAAGCAGGTGGAGCACGAGGCACGAGATCTCTCGAACATGGTGGACGAGCAACGGATGAAGTACGCGCAGCTTGAGAAGGCCATGAGCGAGCAGCACGAGATCGCCTCACTCGCGGAGGTCTCCGCCTTCCCGTCCTGCACATCGCCGGGGAGGTCCAGTCGTGCAACGTCGAGCAGCAGCAGCGCGACGTCGACGCCCAGGAGACCAACGGCCACCCGCTGAGCTCCGCGGAGGGCCAGGGCAGGCACCGGAACGTCGACGAGGCGAAGGCGAGCATCTTGGACGGCCAGGTGAGCTCCACGGACGAGTACACGCAGGGGGCCCCTGGCAACCTGCAGAACATCGAGAAGAGCCGGCGCAGTACCCAGCACGTCCACGCGAAGGAGACGAGCAACGGCGACGTGCTATCGGTCCAGGCGCGGTGGGGAGCCGCGCAAACAACCCCCAAGCGGCGAGGACAGGAACGCGCGAGAAAGAAGAAGAAACCAGAGCTGAAGCAGGAGCAGCAGCAGGAAGCGGACGCAGAAACGTCACTAGGTGACTAGGTGGGCGACGATCCCCCGCGCGCTGACAATGGTCGCCATCATGATCGGCTACCCTGGCGCCGCGCGCGAGCTGATTGCCATGCTTGGATGGCACGCTGGAACCGTTCAGGGGTGGTCGCCTTTCCTGCTCCACCCACGACGACGACACGTGCTTGGCCATGCACGCCACGGAGGGGGCAGCAGGGCGCGCGGCCAGGGCCCAGAGAACGCGGACGAGAACCACCGCAGCCATCATCGAGGAGGTGGTGAGAAGTGCGGCTCCACCAGGCATGCTGACGGGTTGGTGCGGGCGGAGGCGGGGCGGACCCTGGACCCCAGGGGTCGCGGTCCTGAGGGAGCCCGAGGGCAGACCTCGAACTTGCGGGGCGAGGCCCTGAGGCGGAGGGCAGAGTGCCAGCGCGGCCCGCCCTCGGACCTGGCAGCAGTCCTATGACTGCCACGACGAGGAGCGGCCAACAGGACAGGGGCTGAGGCCGTCGGCCCACTGCCCGCGCGGGCCCCGCGCGCGCGGGCCTGCCGAACCGTTCGGCACTCGCTTCTGTGCCCGGCCACTGGTGTTAAAACTCCTCCTCCTCCTCCTCCTCCTCCTCCTCCTCCTCCTCCTCCTCCTCCTCCTCCTCCTCCTCCTCCTCATCCTCATCCTCCTCCTCCTCCTCCTCCCCCTCCTCTTCCTTCCTCCTTCCTCGCCTCTCCTCCCTTTCCCGCCCTCCTTATTCCCTTTCCCTCCCTCCTGCCCCCCGCGACCCCAGCATTTGTCCACCTTCGGGACGGGCGGATTATTCCAACTCCACCTCCCATTCCTTCCCCACCCCCTTCAAGTGCATAGTTTTTCCGAGCGGACGCAGATCGGAGGCCTTGCATGGTTTTCCCCATCATCTTGGAACCACGATGCCCGCGATTTCCTCTAAAAACATCCTGGCGCATTTGGAAAGCGAATATGAGATCATGGGGGGGGCACGCGACATTCGCCGTCAGGATGTCCCTCGGTTGTCGTGACAACCACGGTCGCGCTATGATCGGCGATCGGGGACTCAATCAATAATGGGTGCCGCGAGGCCGCACAAGCATACAAGTGGAACGGCTCGCGGGCCGCCTGCCCATAACGCATTCGAGAAAAAGTGCGTTTGTCGGAACTCATTTGGGTTCCACACACCTTGGTGTCTGGCCTTGCGTTGGCCAAGCACGGGCCAAACAAGGGCCCACAGACAGCCAACGGGTTGATTCGCAATTCTTCCTGGAGACGTAAACGAGGATGGACACGAGGACGATGACGACGGGGAACACGGTGAGCAGGATGCGTGGCCCCCGAGTCGGGGTCTTCTACGCCATATGCCGGCGCCAAGCCCTGGGGCCTTCTCCATCGGCTGCGCTTCGCGGGGAGCTCTTCGAATGTGCCCACGGCCTTGCGCGCCCCGGCCTGACCAAGAACGGCTGTCCACGCGCCCGGGCATCGGCCGAAAATGTTGTCGATGTCCGACGAGTTGAATTGTTGCGAGCGGCGTCTCGGGGGAACGCGCAGGTTTCGGTCAGATGCGGGGGCCCTGGATGTGCCCGAGGCCATCGCGTTCCCCGCTCTCGCTTCTGCGAACAACCACAGCATCGAGGATCTTGTCCCGCATGCTCTTCCTAGCTCTCTCGTCCTCACCATCACTCCCGTGAATTACCCCGACCAGGGTTGAGCAGCACAACCCCTTTCTGGCAACGGGCGAAATGAAAATCCTCTTCCACCTCCTTCTCCTCTTCCGCCTCCTTCTCCTCTTCCGCCTCCTTCTCCTCATTCTGTTACCCCTCCTCATCCTCATCGTCCTCCTCCGCGACGGCGTCCTCGGGAGAATCCCCAGAACAAATGTTCAGCGGACGTCGGGCAGGGGCGCTAAGGAGGAGGTGGAGTACGAGGGGGAGGGACTAGAGAAGAGGAGGGGGAGGAGAGAGAGGAGGAGAAGGAGGAGGAGGAGGAAGTGAAGGAGGAGATGGAGGAGGTGGAGGAGGAGACGAGAGAGGGGGAGGGGATGGGGGAGGGGCGGGGAGAGGGGAAGTTGAACTGGGGGGGAGAATGATGAGGAGGGAGTGGAGGGGGCGGTAGGTGGGGGCTGTGGGGGTGGAGAGGAAGCAGCAGGAGGAGCAACAACAACAGCAGTAGCAGCAGCAGCAGCAGCAACATCAACAACAGCAGCAGCAACAACAAGAGCACGAGGAGGAACAAGTCGCCCTTAACAAAGCGCCCTATCGAAGGCGAGCGTTGCGAGAAGGAAGAAGGCGCGCGTCGACGGGAAGGGCCAGCCGGAAGCAGCGCTCGACTTGTGTATCAAATTGTGTGTTTAGCCAACAGGTACCCCCTCAGCGGCTGCGGTGGCAGGCTGCGCGACTGTCCTGGTTTCGCAGCGTCGCAGCTTTCGCTTGTTTCATCCCCATTCGTCCTCGCTCCCTCACACCTTGCCGTCCCTTTCTTCTCGACTTTCTTCCTGTAGACAGGGGATGGGCAGGGGCAGAGACACGACTGTCACATAATTCAGCACATTAATATGCATGAACGGCACCGACGAAAGGCAACAATGTTCGGCATTGGATTCGTTCTTGCCAGCCTCTTGCGAAAGCACAACTGTGCCAAAAAGGAAGGGGCAAATGCGTTACAGCCCAACTGTGGAGGACCCACACAGTCCGCGAGATGCTCTCAGCTGAAGATTGGTAGCTAGGGTGTGGGAGGGCCACGTTGTCACGAGGGGATGTGGGCCAGGGGTACAGAAGAATCGAACCATCAGCCTCACCAAACACAGAGACCACTAGGGGCAGCCAGGGGCCACGGGCCACGGGGGAAACCGAATCGACAGCTGGGCTTCAGCCCACACCCCAACCACGAGGGTCCATGAGAACGATGGACCACTGATGCAACTGCGTCGACGTTGGGGGCCCCACCGCGCACACGAGAACCACTGGCCACGGAGGCAACAAGATCGTCGCTTGACTTTTAGGCCCCACCCAACACCGCACAAGAGAGCCACACAGGACCTGAAGCCGCAGAGCTCGCCGAATGGATCGGGCCGGACCCCCCCACACCCACACACACACACACACACACACAGACAACAAGGACCACGAGGCGGCGTGCGGTCTTTGTTGGATCGTCTTGTAGTGCGTCTTAGACTATGTTGAGGGTCGTCTCGGGGCTTTGCGTGGACGTCGGGGAGGGTTGCGCTCGAATAATATAAGCCGAGGGGGGGGGCTCATAGTCCATCAGCAAGATTGCAAGGCAGACCAGGGACCTTCTGTCACTCAAGACATGGGGGCAAAGTGGCGGATCTCGTCCAATTCGTTAGGTGGTGGCCGTTGCCACGACAGGCACGATGGAGGGTTTGTAAGTCCAGGGTGGGTGCCACAGTGTCTTTTCTTACCATCGCCTTCAGCATCAGACTGTGCTTCCCAGAATGCGGTTGAGGGGCCGTCGGAGCCGGTATTCCGACGCCACCCTCGCTCTCACCATCGTTCCCCACCTTATCTTCCGCGCCCGTCATCCCTGCCCGCCTCTTCTTCCTTCCGTCGTTTCTCCGCCCCTTTCTTCCCCTCCCCTCCCGACCCCCTCCCTCCCCGACTCCTTCCCTCCCCGCCCCCCTTCTCTCTTCACCCCGTCCTTCACCTGGCCCCCTCCGCAGCAGGCGGTGCACCAGGCGTCCCCGCGGAGCAGGCAGTGCCCCAGTGCGCCCTGCATGGCCGGCGGGCCGCCCGCCCCATACGCCCGAATGGGCGGTGGCCAGCCCGCGATGCACCAGGCCTGGAGCTCCGCAGGGTTCCTCCTCCTCTTCCTCCTCATCCTCATCCTCATCTCCTCCTCCTCCTCCTCCTCCTCCTCCTCCTCCTCCTCCTCCTCCTCCTCCTCCTCCTCCTCCTCCTCCGCCTCCCTCCTCCTCCTCTTCCTCATCCTCATCCTCATCCTCATCCTCATCCTATCCTCATCTCCTCCTCCTCCTCCTCTTCCTCCTCCTCCTCCTCCTCCTCCTCCTCCTCCTCCTCCTCCTCCTCCCTCCTCCTCCTCCTCTTCCTCCTCTTCCTCCCCCCTCCTCCTCCTCCTCCTCTTCCTCCTCCTCCTCCTCCGCGGCTCTAGCTGTCATGTGCCCAAGCATTGGGCATTACACACACCAACTTCAGGACAGCATTTGTGTGTGCGAGCCTTTTGTGGCTTCGGTTTCTTTTTCAGATCGTATGACCAGGGATGGATCCTGGCAGCCTCGCAGCAATGGCGGCGGCGCGTGGTCCCAGGCGCCGTGGCGGGCAGGGGCAGCGGCCCGCTCCCCCCCCAGGCCAGTGGGGCGGCGGCGACAGCCGACCCTGGCCCTCGGCTCGCCAGGACAACGCATGGTCGGGCCGCCGTTGGCTTTGCCAGGACTGCGGGTGCAAGAAGAACTTGGAGGGGTGGCTCAGTTGCAAGCACTGCGGCGCCCTCAGGAACGGTGCTGAAGGAGGCTTCTACGACATGTTCGACCCCACGCGGACGGGCACCCCGTGGCCAGCGCTCCTTCCTGGGCCCCTGCCTCTGGGCCCTGGCGGTGCTGCTGGCGGTGGTGCAGGCGGGAATGGCACCCCGCCTTGGTCTGCAGAGGAGTTGCGGACTCTCATCAACCTGTTCCAGAAGAGCGGAGACACTGCAGCGGTGTCAAGGCACAAGGCGGTTCTCGACAAGCTCCTCCGTGTGTCGACTCTTGCCCCTGTCCAGCAGCGGGCGGCCAAGGCACACAAGAACGTGCAGTACTGGGAGCGCAAGCTGTCGACCGAGCTGGACAAGCTGGCGAAGCTGGAGCAGCAGGTGGGGCTCCAGCAGGCCACCACTGAGGCTGCTCAAGCCGCCCTTCGTGAAGCTGATGAACAGTACAAGGATTTGGTCAAGGAGCAGGCTGGCAACGTGGTCGTGCCCGCCCCTGCCCCGATGCCCAGCCCTGCCAAGGTGGACGTGGTGGAGCTCATGCAAGGCTCCTCGAACGTCTTGGACATGGTCTCGCTGGACTCCATTTTCTCGTTCGACGAAACGGAGTTCGAGGTCATGCCCCAGGACCAGGAGCAGATGGACAAGAGGCGCGCCACGCTCAACGAACAGTTCCGCGAGGCATGCAAGACCTTGTTCGCAGGCGCCTTGGAGAAGGCCCAGGCGGCCCAAGAGGAGCAAGCGAAGCACGTGCAGCGCCTGGGCAAGAAGAGGCGGGGTGAGGACGGCAAGACGCACTTTGGAGGAGGCGCGGATCATGCTGCAGCCCCGCCCCCTGGAGGTGGCCAAGGTCAAGCAGCTGCGCCTGCTGGAGGCCTTGGGTCAGCGCCCGCAGCAGCTCCAGCTGCGCCCAAGCCCGAGGAAAGGGGCCCAGGCGCCTGCTGCTGAGGCCGCCCCAGCCGCTCCTGCTGACGTGCGAGCTCGTGCAGCGGCGGCCCTGGCCCCATCGAAGCAAACGGTGCCCCCTGTCGCGGGCTAGCTTCGACGACCAGGACAGGGGGAAGATACCATCAGAGTGAGGCAAATAATGTGTTGTATCGTGCTGAGCTTGTGGATCGCCTCGCTCGGCCTATCCGTTTTCTAGATCGCTATATCCAGGCACCGTTGTGTTCCGCCGACAGTTCCAGGGTGACCCAAGGCACCCAGGGGGACTTTTGCAGAGAGCAGGCTGGCGCTCGGCCCACTCTAGCGTTTTCCCTTGGTTGCCTGACGGCTGCCGCTACCCCAGACTCAAAGGTGAGTTCTGGCAGTTTTGATATTGTTGCTATCCCCCCCTGCCTTTGGGGGGATGCCATAAACCTGAAGATAGTCACATGCAATTGCACGGCCTGGAGTTCTGCTAAGGACTGGCTCGTGCAGACGGCGGCGCACGTGGTGCTGCTGCAGGAACACCACCTGCTGCATCATCAGATCCCAGATGCTCAGCGCTGGGGCCTTAATCACGGGTGGAAATCGATCTTCGGTAGTGCTAAGGAGACGTCAGACTCAGGTACCTCTGGTGGGGTGGCTATCCTTGCCCGTTCTGGACTGGGCCTCCATTGGCCTGCTGGAGGTTTCAATGTTGAAGATTATCGTGATGTTGCTGGTTTTGTTCATGTTGGGGGTCTTCCACCCATCTTGTGCATATATTGCTACCCTGTCTGCTGCGAGGGCTTATCCGACCGCAACCGTGCGATCTTGTCTAAGGTTGGCACCTTTGCCAGCAGTAGCCTCAGCAGTTTTGTGATAGGGGGCGATTTCAACATGGAGCCCCCTTACGCTCGAGGATTGTAATTTCGCGCAGCAGTTGAAGGGTCAGATCGTCACCTCAGGTCGGTCTTTGTGTCTTGGAACTGCTGGTGGGAAGGTTTACGATTACGTTGTTGTCTCTGGTGGGTTGTCCAAGGGGGCGAAGTCCACGTGGGTCGACAGGTACGCGCCGACGGCTCCGCACTCCCCAGCTGGGATCGATTTCCACGGCCAGATGGCTGGCTTGCGCGTGCTGCAGTTTAGGAAGCCGCCACCGCTCCCCGTGGAGGTCCCGATTGGCCCTGGGCCAGCCCCACAAGATTGGGGGCCAACCGTGGCCATGGCTCAGGACGTCCTTGCGCGTGCTCAGCAGGGCTCTCTGGAGGCTTATCACGGGCTCACCGAGCTTGACAGATGTTGGGCTAACCTCGCCGAGGCCGAGCTGGCTGACCAGCTGCAGGCGAGATTACCCAAAACTGGCTGTCGAGGTGAGCTCCCCAAAGTCTGTTGGGCCCCAGTCTTGGGGCGCGACCAACGACCTGCGAAGCATCCTGAGCTTTATGTTTGTCGTTGGCTCTCTCAGAGTTTCAGAGATTGGACCATTGCTTGGCGCGCGGCCCTTGGTAGGTGTTCGGGTGGGATCCCCATCCAGGAGGCCAAGAAGGTTTTGGACCAACCCTCTCCCTTCATCCAGGAACACCTCGGAGCTGGTCTCACCCAGAAGGCGTACTCCAGGGTCCCCGGGTTCATCGGGCAGGAGGGGATCACCTTAGAGGCCATAGGGGAGGTGTCCATCGAGCTTTATGACCTGCTGTCGACTGCCGCCAAGACGGCGCGAACCAAAGGCGAGAGGTCGTGGAAGGAGTGGCTCCTAAAGGACATTGACCAAGGGGGCGGACGTAACGCCCACTCTTGGACTCGTCCTGTAGAAGCTTTGGTTCCTTCCTTGACCCTCAGCGCCGCTGGCCAGGTAGTATCCGACCCCCAGACCCTCTTGCGAGCTGAGGGCAAACGTTTTCAAGCACTCTGGATTGCTGACACCGAACTGTTTGATTACCTGGAACCGAAGCCCTTCCGTCCTGCACAACATTTGCCTTTGGTGCCACCAAAGGTCATGAGGGGAAGAAACAGGGGTTGTTCCAGGAGGTCAGCAGTGTCGGTCGATGGGTTCAACCTTCGGCACTACGCTTTGCTGTGCGACCAAGCGTTGACAGTGGTCTCGTTTCTTTTCGCCATCATGGAGACGATGGCCACTCTCCCAGAGCAGCTCCTCCTTGCGACGCTCGCCATGTTGCCCAAACCCACGGGACGTCTCAGACCCATAGGGATCTTCACGTCACCATACAGGTTGCGGGGGAAGTGCAGGAGGCAGGAGGCTTTGTTATGGGAGGAGGATCACAAGCATGACATGTTCGCAGCGCACGGTCTCAAGTCAGCTTCCGACGTTGTCTGGAGGCAGGCCGCCAGGAGTGAGGCCGCAGCAAGACAAGGGTTGTGATCGGCGTCGCTTCTCTGGGACATGTACAAGCTTTACGAAACTATGGATTTGGAAGATCTTGAGGCCAGGTGCGATGTCCTCGGTTTTCCGATGGTCGCGCGTCGTCCGTGTATTTCGGCGTATAGGGCCCCGAGGTACATCAACATCAGCGGCTTCCTCCAGGGACCCTTCTTGGTCATCCGTGGGGTTATTGCTGGGTGTAGTATCGCTACCAGTTTCGTCAGAGTTTATTATATGCAGGCGTTTGTCCCTGTCCAGCTCAAGCCATGCTCCAGCCTTGATCTGTACATCGACGACCTGGGCCTCTCGGCCCAAGGGAGGTTCCAGGAGGCGCATGATGCCATCACCCACGGTGCCGCTGAACTGTTTAAGGCAGCTGAATCGGACATCAAGTGCAAGATCGCCCCTGATAAGGCTAGCCTTATCTGCAGTCAGCGCCGCCATGGGACCTAGCTCCAGAATTCCTTGGGAGTTCGGGCTGGTCCTGGGGCTACCACCTCGGCGATCAACCTGGGGGCCGACGACACCGCTGGGCGGCCCAGGAGGGTCAGGGGCCGTTGTAAGAAGGCTAAGCAGAGGCGCATGACGTTTGATCAGCGTGCTAGCAGGATTCGCAAACAAAGACAAGTTGTAGGGCGTTCAGCGAAGAAGATTTTCACTGGCGGCGCGCTCGCAGGCATCAATTTCGGCTGCGAGATCCATGGTGTTAGCGATGCGGAGCTGGGCCACATTCGCCGCCAAGCAGGCAAGTGCCTGCGGCCGTCTGGTGGTGGCCGTAGTCTCTCATCCGCCCTCATTTGTGAAGATGATCCGGCGCTGTTCCTGTCTGTCCAGCGGTCGGGCTGGACCATGCCCAACTACGCCACTCTGCAGTCGCACGATGGCACCTCCGTCTCTCTTACCTTTGTCAGCCCCAGACTTTTGAAGGACATCCTTAGGCGGGAGATAGTCAGGAGTATGGAGAAGAATGTGGGGAAGAAGCTGGAGGTGTGATGGGATCGTGCGTGTTTCGATGGTTGCAAGAGTCAGCTGCGTTCCAAGAAGTACACTGCTTTGGAAAAGGGGTC